AGTTTGGCCTTCCATATTTATATATGTAAACTGCTTAGAAATAATTTCTGTCTATGGTGTGCTACAGAGATCATTTTTTTCTCAAATTAGAGAACCGTCTCTGTAGCATTTACTGAATGACCCATATTCTCCCATGTGATCTATGGTACTAATTTTGGTATGTATAAAGTTTCTAGGAAATGCATTATTTGAGGGAGCAAAAGATTAATTAAAAAATTTTTATGAAATCAACAGTAAATACATGCTATCATCCTAATTTGACATGTAACTTGCCTGATGTTGCATGGAAAATGTCAAGCTCCTTCTGACAGCAAAACTTTTATGTCTGTTGATTGGAGAGTGTAAGTGGCTAATCCTTGCAAAACTCTGGGGAAGTTAGGGTTTTATAGGCAGTTGAAAGCCTCCTAGGGCTTTCAGTAGGGGAGTAGCACACTGATTTATACTGTACTTTGCTTCCTTAGCTGTTAGATGAAATGCAGGTTGGAAGGAGGCAGCGTGGATGGGGGGACACCCAGGCCTCCGACTCTTGCAGTCACTGAGTCCCGGAAGGCTCCGTGGAGATGGATAGAAGGTAGAAGGGTTTGAAATGCACTTTCGGATCAGCATTTCAGAGCTTGCTGTTCATGTGCATTTAATTGGAGGCTGAGAGAAAGGGAGGGCATTTAGACTGAGCAGCTGCGTGATGGTGATGGCAGTGCTATTATATAAGTAAAGGCTCTGTGACAATTCTAGGACCGCCAGGTCCTGCCTGTCTGCCATCAGATCTTCTTGAACTGGCCTCCGAGGTCCTAAGGGCTACAGGCCTGAATGGACCATAGTCTGATGATGGCATGCATTTACAAACTGGAGAAAAATCTGTGCTCTTCTTGTTTTTTAGCCACACTGATGATAATGGCTTAAAAGATAAAAGACATGATTCTTTTTCAGTTGCAGGGCTCTTGTCCATGTGTCAACCTTCTTGATAAATAGGCAAGACAGGTATGAGTAAGGTTATGTCCCTCACTTGGGCTCTGTCTGCTGCTTGGTGGCCTGGCTGAGTCTGGCCTTTTTGTCCCTTTCCAGTGACATTTAGATAATGAGATATTGTTGATTAGACCCACCATGTACATACAAACTCTGAGCTAACTCAGCAGATGTGTGGGTTTACAGTTAGGCTTAAAATAGTAACAACATAATTTCATAACAGCTCACAATGTACTTTTCCTGTAGGAGAGGAAACACGCCCTTTCATTTCTTTGTGCTTATAAGAAAATCCAGTTGTGGGTTGCAGTGGTGAGCAGAGAATGTGGCCGCCTCAATTTGTTCAATTTTCAGACTGTCACAAAAGAAAGAAAGCTTTTCCGTCATTTGGAGATGGCAATAAATGGAACTCTGTGCCAGGCAATTTACAGGGGACCTGAGCAATTATGATACTTGCACATGCTCTGAAAGGAGCTCCCCACTCACAGTCTTCCCATGTCTCCCACCTAACCCTGCAGGCAGGGAGGACATTAGAAGGCACATCTTGCTCTTCTGACCCGAAAGAGACAAGACACAGCTTACTTATGTCTGCACTGGCCATTCATTAAACCATCTCTTGCTTTTACGGGATGTGGTGGTGTTTTCTGTCCATTTTCCTCTGTTGAGCTATATTTTGTATTCAGAACATCTCACCTCATCTGGAGGCAGCAGCTTGAATTCAAGAGTACACGGTGGATTTGGGAAGTGTGCCACCAGCGTTATATGTCAGGGACACCATTTACAGGCCTTGTGCTCTTGGGAGAGCCGCCTACTGCCTCCAGCCTCACTGTCTTCATCTGTAAAGTGGGAGTGAGGTCTGTTCCACGGGATGAGGACTGAGGGGTATGTGACGTTATATCACATCTGGGCCACAGTTTAATTAATTGTTCCGTCTTTGTTGCATTTATGACCCTTGAAAGAAACTATCCATTTCCAACAAAATGTGCTGACATAGTTTGAATCTGAAATGTCCCCCAGAGTCCCATGTGCTAAAGGCTGCCCTCCAGCCTGCGGTGTTACTGGGGGTAAGGGACCCTATCAGAAGTGGGCCTGACGGGAAGCAGTTGGGTCACTGGGGATGCGACCTTGAAGGGATACCAGGACCTTGGCCCCTTGATCTCTTTCTTTCCTTCTAGATCTCCTTTGCCACATTTCCCCACCAGGAGGTTCTGCTTCCCCACGTAAGCAAACTGATGGCCACAGGACCATGGAGTACAACTGATGATTCTGTGAGCCGAAACAAATCTTCCCTTTTTAAAACTGTTTATTTCAGATGTTTGTCACCAGGGTGGGAAGCTGACTAACACATTTCCCTTTCCCACGGCCTTTATCGTTTTTTCTTGAAAGACTTGAGGTTGGCTCTGTGACAGCTCCCTTCTGAGAATGCGGTTGAGTCATGCGACAGTGCCTCTCCTTAGACCCTCTTGGGTACCTGGATCATCCGGAGATTGGGCTGCGAGCCGGAGCTCTCTGAACCTCAGCTCAGCCCCAGCTGTGAACACAGCTCCAGCATCATGGGAACTGGCCGCCTAGTACTGAGCAGCTCTTCTGCAGAGAGCTACAAAACTCCACGCCCTTCCTGTGAACTTCCTTCCCCAACAGCTCCAGGCTTTTCAATGAATGTCCCTCCTTTTGGTGTTGGGAGGTTTTAGAACTGTTTTCCAGGGTCTTCATTAAGCATGAGTATTACCAAGTCACTCTCCTCATACAGCCCCACTGGGTTCCTGTTTTCATAACATCAAATCAGGTACACTTGCTTGGCTCTGCATATATTAGTGCTTTCTTTGTTCCTTGGATGTAGCACGCTGATTTCTTTCTTTTTTTGTTTTAATTAGTGAATATTTGTAATACATAATAGTTACATCTGTTATAGTTAATCATGTTTTGATCCTTTTCCTTCACTCCCTTTTTTCTTCCTCCTTTGTTTCTGCCTCCACACTTTTGCTCAATTTCGTCCTTTCTCAGATGGCTTCCTCCATTCCATTTTGGGCTGCCCAGTCTTCCAGCCTCCTTTCAGCATCTGCCTCCCTCCTAAAAGTCTCCCTGATGGTTCCACCAGATCTTTTCCTTCTCCTCTGACCTTTAACACGTTTTCAAGTTCTATTGCAGAACAGAGTTTGGCACTGAGGCACACACTGGCCTGTGATAATTTAAAGAAAATTCCTGTAATTTAATTTTTTAAATGCCTTAACTGAGTCGTGAGCTTTTAAGCTCAATACGAAAAATGGTTAAGCAACTATTGTTCACTCTTTCAGTTATTAGAGATAAATGTATAAGTCATGGCTAATGTCTCAAGTGGCTCCTATCTAGTGAGAGGCGTACACTGTGATCAGAAAATGGAATGTACATGTTTTATAGTACAGATATGCACACAGTCCTGTAAGGGGAGGGCAGTGAGTACGAGAAGGAACTATGGAGGTAGAGTCCATTGTCGAACGCCATTATGTACTCATTACTTGCTGAGGCAGGAATTTGTATGTGTCATTTTATTTCATATCTATAGCAGTCTTGCAAGGAGGACATGGAGTAATGTGTGCCCATCTTCCCTATGAGATTAAAGAAAGAAATGATGTATCTGGATCAGAGAGCTTGGTGGGGTCCACAGATCCTCCGGCTACAATGATTATGCTAAACACATTTCCATTATCTTGTCCTGATAGAGAGGATTGGTGACCAGGAGCACATCTTTCTCTGCCTTTGACTCTCTGGACCTTTGCTGTCCTTTCAGTGACTTTGGATCATTTGCAAGTTTCATTTTACATGAAATTTTCTTTTTCTGACTATTACTAAGGTAAGAAAACAAACAAATAATAGTAAACAAAAGAAGAAAACCATTTTTGCAGTGTGAAGATTCTCTCATTGTAATTTGCTGAGTTTCAAAGAGTGAGTTAATATTTTTATTAACATTATTTGTTTGGTAATCAGATGCAATCATTGGAAATTCAATGCAAGTTGAAATAGTTCATCAAACCTAGTTAGAAAACAGCATGTTTTCTCACTGACTTAATCATACAACCCCTTTGTTATTCAGAAAGCATTTGTCTTTCCTTCCAACATGAAGGCTCAGATATGCTTCTGACAGAAAGGAGAAAAGAAGGCAGTTTCCTCCTCTGAGTTACTTGGCTAATTCTTCAGGGCTCAGCTTAGAAGTCACTTCTTCCTGGGAGCCATGTTTATCCCACAAGTTGACATTAGATGAACTCTCTGCTTCTATATTTCTCCTGTTGCTACTTCCTGTTAAGTTTTTTGTTTGTTTGTTTGTTTGTTTGTTTGTTTGTTTGTTTGTTTGTTTGTTTGTTTGTTTGTTTGTTTGTTTGTTTGTTTGTTTGTTTGTTTGTTTGTTACTTGGGATTGAACTTGGTACCTTGTGCTTGCAAAGTTCCCATTAAGTTTTAACTACATGTTTCTAGACTCCTCAAGCTGTTTCCCAGGCCTAGACTTCAGATTAGATGATCAAAAAATACTGATAAAAGATACAGTACTAATCATATGTGTGAAGCACCAGCAATATGGAAGAAACTCAAATTATAGTTTTCTTCACTTCCTCTATATTTCATGTACCAGCTTTGAAGTCAGTGTAATTTTGTATTTCTTTGCTTGTTTTCCATGTCTTAAGATATGAATCCACTTTTATTTATCTTAAGAGATCCAACACTTAATTATCTTTGGGTGCCAGTAGGACATGATGTGCAATACCACACATATAAAAGATGCTTGAAATATGTTGGATCAAACCATGATGCATATCAGTCTGAAATGGTTTGAATTCACAGCTTCATTTTAGTAAAACATTTACACACCTTCTCAAGTGTTTTAATAGAGAACTAGTTTTCCTTTAAAAAGTTCTCTGTTTTTGAATTGAGCTTCTCAGTAAGTGTTTGTAAAACAAACAATGACTGCGTGTGCTGGATTCCGAGTTGATCCCATGAGGACATCACAGTGTCCGTTTGTCCTCTTGTCTCTCATTGAGCTTTGTGCCTTTTTCCTGTTGTCTGTTTCAGGGTCATCCAGGAAAGGCTACGTAAGAGGATACAGTTCCCTCAATAAGAGATGAAGGTTCACAAAACAGCCAGTCAGACCAGGGAATAGAAGATTAAGGCGGCATGGAGGGTAGGTCTGTTTAACCCTACCCCACTCTGCTTGGTGGGCTGTGGCTTGTGCTGGGGTTCCCTCACCTTCTGACTCAACTGATCAGTCTGGGATACTGAGAGACAGAGGTGTGAACAGAGCAGGCAGCTGAGGGCAGATACTGAGGGTGGCAGTGCTGTAGTGATACCAGCTTGAGCAGTTGCTTATTTCATAGATTTAAAAGCATGATGAGACGTCATCTGCAATTGTCAGTCTACCATTGATCAATCCTGTCCTGCTGGAGGTGACACCCAGGTCCTATGGCCCCTGAAACATTGATTTGTTCTCTTCTGCCTGTTAGCCTGATAAATAAAGGAAATGGAGCTACATAGGGAGTTGTTTGTGACAGTTGTGTTTGGGGACAGGCATGGCTGTGGTCAGAGTGTCCCTGCCAGGCAGCACATCAGCTGTTGATGGTTTTATGTTTGCCTTCCCAATTCTAAATATATGAGGAGCAGGTAGGAAGCTTGGTGTGCTAAGCATATTTTCTGTCTCCCTACAGATTCCATTTTGGGTTAATAACTCTCAGCAGGAGGGATCCCCAGCAGTAGGCATCCTGCTTTGTACCCCATAGTGAAGCTGTGATGATTAGTCCTTTGGAGGAAAGCAGGAGGTGGATGACTTCCTGCACCTGTTCAGGCTTGCATTAGGGATTTCTCCTCTCGTGTACTAGGCTGAAGCCACTTGGCCCAAATGGATGTTTTTAGATTATTGTAATGGCACAGTTGGATTGAATCCATGTTCAGAAGGGAAACTTCATAGAAAACAGTTGTGTGGTCCCTTGAGAGAAGACAGCCTGGCTTCATTTCAAGATCAGTAACACATCACCTCTGTTGTGCCACTTCCTCAAAGTTAAAGGCATCTTAGTCTTTGGACTATGTAATTCTAAATCTATAGACTTTCTTGGCGAGTGACTTTGGGATGTTAATGACTTTGTCTCAGCATCCTTTTGTGGAATGAAGAATGAATGAATGAATAAGTGAATCTATCTATCATGTATCCATCTAGTTTTAATTCTAATGCCTGTATGCTTTCCCACTCGTGTAACTAAGGACTGATCTGTGTAGAAATGTCATGGCTTTCCAACATCATCTCATTTTACAATGAGATATTTTAACTTGGGTCTGCCAGTGCTCCTCTTTTCCAAATCATGTATGTGGGCATATGTGCATGTGTGTGAATATTTGCATGTGTATACATTAGTCTTTTATACCTTGAAAGACAAATGAGATCGTCTCTCTTGGCTTTGCTATGTACTAGTGATTTCACCTTTGAAAGTGATTTAACCTTTGAAATTAACCTATTTGTACTTTGATTTTTTATTTCATAAGATAATGTTATGAGATTTAATGAATTTATATAGTTGTTATGAGATTTAATTTATATAGCAAGTACTAAGAACAATGTTATCATTGTGGGAGATGGTTAAGGAATGTAATATTGGAGTTTTTATTCTCAAGAAGTTTTTTCCAGTGTATATTTACTTTATGCATGAAACAGCCCAATTTTACACTCAGAATATCCCATTTAAGGCTCCCTCCCTCCTTAATTTTCTTTCTGTCTCCCATCTTTCCCTTGTTTCTCCCAGCAGCTTCTTTTACAGTATGCCTCCCCCTACTGGTGTCCTACCTCCTCTGTCACGAATATGAAGTCCCTGCCCATGACTCTTTGTTATGTGGAAATAGATATAGGCACACAAATATGTACTGAAATAATTCCAGTGCCATTAGGAGTTGAATTTTCCCTGATGAGGGAGAAAAGAAGCAAGCAAAATGAACTTCTGATATATTTTCTCATAAAAGAGAAAAGCTAGTCCTGTCTACTGAAAGAACCCAGGAAGAACGATTAACCTATTAGGAGTGAGAACCACTCATGTCTAAATTGTGGTCTCAAAATGTCATTTATTATTAAGGAACTGGGACTTCTTGGAGAGGTGGAAGACTAGAGGTGTAGGACAGGAAATGCATAAGATGATTCTGGAACCTCTTATTACATCAGAAAGCAAAGAAGCTAAAGCACTTGGGGTCATATTAAAATACTTACAAAAATGTGAAATTGTTACTAAGGGCTAAAGATGAGAAATTTAAAAATCAAAAGAAATGAGTGGCAATCATTGGAATCCATCTATATGTTAAACGATTTATGCCATAATGATACTTTTAAGAACAGAAAGGGCACTGCTTGTTTTAAATTTTTTTTTTGTACTGGGGATTGAACTCAGGTCCTTGTGTTTGCAAGGCAGGTAACAGAACCACTGAGCTAAATCCCTGGCCCAGCACTGCTTGTTTTAGAGGATTCTAGTAACCCCATTATTTATTTACAAAGCTAATGTCTTTTCCCCAAGACAATCAAGTTGTGGATGTAGGAAAGTTTTTTTTTTTTTTTTTTTTTTTTTT